GGGAGGGGAGGATTCATTTTCAGTATTTTTAGTTAAACCATCTGGCAACCCTAGGAGTGTGGCCACTTATTGAACCAGGAGAAGCCTGTCTGAGCCCTGGTGGGCTACAAATGGGAGTTCAAAGTAGGCATTTAAAAATAAAATATTTTACCCTTATGAATGCTATATTCACAGTAGGTCCTCAATATCCTGCTTTCTAAGGCTGGCACTTCAAAGAAAACAAAACAAAACAAACGATACAAGTATACATTTCCTTTTGTAGCAGTTAAGCATGTTCATCATAATCTTGACATTAATCTGTAGTATTCAGACCCACACAAAATGCATGAACTACCTTTAGGTAAGCTTTTCATATCAACATCATTTTCTGAGTTTTCATTTGAAACATCTTCATTTACTGTTTCAGTTAAGGTTTGCTCATCATCTGATCCAACATATTTTGTTACAATTGTAGGTTTCCTGTATGAACAGAAAAAAAAAAAATCTAGATTTGTGATATTTTATAGTAATACAAGTGTATTTGCAATCAAACACAATGTCCTTGTGTCAGATGCCTTGTAATTTTAAGTTCTATTTTCTTTCTAATCTAACCTGCATGAAATGACAAATCAGAGAAAAATAGATTTTGGGAGAGTGACAACAGAAAAGGATTGTTCTAGAAATATAGTAGTTTTAGGACTGTTCTAGAAATATAGAGAAAAACTATTGTTCTTAGAGATATAGTGGATTTTTCAATCCACTCAAGAAAAGGATTACGTGTTTTGTTTTACGTATCTGAAAAGCACATAAGGCCAGAACCATAAAGTTTAGCAAAAGACAAGGAATATGATAAATGTAAAGTTGCTAAAATGCAGTTATTTTTGGCCATACAAAGAATTTGTTTTCTTTAGGTACTAACTGATAAGCAATGACTTCAGTGAATTACTTCTTGAAAGAGAACAAAAAACGAAACAAAAAATTAAAATGAACTGAAGTGCATCAGACTGGTAATGTTTAGCTAAAACACCCCATAGAGCTACCAGGTATTGATTCTATTGGTAATGAGTCAAGTGTGTCTCAGTGAATCACTAATACAGTAAAGCTCATAACCATTTGGATTTTTTTTTTTAAAACATTTCCAGGGTAAAAACCTTGGGTGTGTGATGAACAATCCTGAAGGAGGAATGCCATGAGCATTTATGCCTGATAAGCCTTGCGATAGTATTTATAGTACAGTAAAACTCCATTAGTCCGGCATCCAATGCTCCCGGACTCCTGATGGTCGGGCACCATCAGGAACCCGGAAGTGCTGGGGCAGCGGGACAGGCTTCCCCCATTCAGCTGCTGCTGAAACTGACCAGCAGCTGAATCGGGGAAGCTGGGAGCAGAGCAGCTGGG